TTTAAAATTTTCTTTCTTTTAAAAGCATGAAAAAAAAATTACAATTAAAAGTTATATCATAAAAAAAAAATTAAAAATATCACTTTTTATTTCTTTCTAGTTTTGTTATACCGGGGTCCTACAACCAAACGCACCTTAAGTTTTATCCCAAAATGGCGCTGGAAGTTGGTTGAGATAGGCCAAGGCAACCAAGCACTTTGGGTGAATCCTGAATTCCTGTGTCAGAAAAAGCATTCACATTTTCAGGGAACTGGGGAAGCGTAGATTCACAGCTGTTCGTCGGCCATCCATCTTCTTCACAGTCTAACGCCGACGACGAAGAACGGAACTATGCTATTGCAGTGCACGACATCCCAGAGTTTCACACCTCTATCCTCTCATACCTCACGCCCAAGAACCAGTTTTGTTAGGTACCCAAGAAAGCATTCTAAATTCACTTGCTTTCTTCATGTGGGTCTCGATGATGTTGCTCAAATCGCCCATAACAAGGTACTTCCTCATCAAAACTTGCATTTCTTCTGTTCTTTCGCTTCTGGGTCATCATAATCTTCAATGTTGTTAGTGTTGTTTACTTGGTTGAAAAGGTTCTTATAGCAGCTGGTGTGGCTGCGGCAATTGGGCAGCTCTCCAAACCATTCACTGCTGTCATTCTTTATGGGAGAAATTTCGATTTCAAGGCTGCTTTCCAGGCCGGTGGCTTCCCTTCTACCCATTCCTCTGTAATGCCCTCTTTCCTTCAATTCAATCATCTTTATTACTATTGATTGCTATTTGTCTTATAAAGCTTCCATTTTTTTTTTTTTTATTAGTCTGTTTTGGCTGCTGCAACAACTCTTGCCCTTGAAAGGTAAATTCCAGCTTTAAAAATTGTCTTCTTTGTTTTTCTTGTTTCTCGAATTTATATGGTATAAATTTGGGGATTAGTCAGCAGCTTGTATTTTTGCAGGGGTTTCTCGGATTCCCTCTTTGGCCTGACGGTGGTTTATGCTGGCCTTGTCATGTATGATGCCCAGGTGTGCATGTTATTTTTGTTTCACAAGTTGCTGCTGCTTCTGTCTTTTGCTTTTGTGGCATATATATCTTCACTAGTTCCCAGAAGATAGTGCTTGGCTATTGCAATGGTTTGAATGCCCTAACCTTTACTCCAGTGCCAAAATAAAAGGTTTTGAATTTAATTTGGGACTTCTGATACTCCATATGTCTCAAGTTTCAAATCTTAGATCTCTAATTGAGTCTTAAGCTCTTACCAATTGAGGCATCCCTTGGGGGCTCTAGTTTATCTATTTAAATGATGAACTTGTATACTTGTTTCCTGTAAAAGCCTGGTTTAAGTAATGTCAATGAACATATTCCTTTTTGTGAAGTCTATATAATGTGAATTTTTCTCTCTTTCATTTTTTCCGTTTTGGACTTTAGTTAGCCATCACAAAAGCTTGAAACCCCTGACTTCAACTCCATGATCAAGAACTTTGAGTTATTGGGCTGTGGGCGCTCCAGTTGGTTCTTTTTTTCAATAAACAAAATGCTGCTGAAACTTGAGCCTGATTTAGGAAAAAGGCATGTTTTTAACGTTGGATAAAAAGGTTGGTCATTCTTTAGGAAATTGATTCCTTTATTGAGGCCACTGAAAAACTAGTGCTGCTGCTTGTTGATGCCTAGCAAACTTTCCCTAGCTCATCTTAATTGAAGCTTTTCCCCAACTCAGAAGAGACTACTTTCATAGTTTTTTCTGTATGATGCATCTTGTTTATCATATTCAATGGTGACATGCATTTTCCTTCTGCAATGAAATGTTTCAGTTTCTTGTTTTTTATGCTTCTACTGTTTCCCAAGCTTCATGATCCTAGCCTAAACTCGTCAATAAGCCACCAACCTGGTGCTTGCCTTGAAATTTAAGCTTGAGCCAGATAATTTTGACCGGTGAGAAAACTTGGTTGAAGTCTCCAGTGAATGGAATAGGAGCCAATCATTCATAAGGATTAGGATCATTATTCACCACTCCAACCATTTGAACAGGATCTGTGAGTCCATTTTACTCATAATAAGATTGCATTCTGTTTCCAGTTCTTCATTTTACATTACTCTTTGTGGGCTCATAGTAGTATCCAGAAGAACCTAGTTAAGTTATTCCCTTTCCACACCAACGATCACCTCTGTGTCCCCTTTTCTTCCTCACCTATTTTTGAGGTCTTGCATTTCATTCTGTCCAAAGTAGTATAATCCTCCTTGCTAACATGCAAGTAATAGAGGCTGTCGTTTGCAGTTAAAACAGCAGAAGCATTGAAGATCTGGCAGAAAAGGACCTGCCAGCTTCATCTTTCGTTCGTGCAATGTCACAAAATATATGCATTAATCATCCAATTTATGCGTCAGTTGATTTTATTATCAGAACCCTGTTTGTTCGTCACTTGATTTAACAGGAACATACAGGATCTGATACTTGAATTATTGGTTTTGCAGGGAGTAAGAAGGGAAGTCGGAAATCATGCGAGGGCACTGAATAAAGTCCTTCCCAAGTCTAGTATTAACTCAATTGCCTCCAAGGATAAAGATGGTTTCATTGATTTACAAAGGGGAACATCGTCAACCTTAAATATGGCGAGTCTAGATCCTCGTTCGTCAACCAATTCCATGAAATCTCCACAATTAGTTACAACTGAACAACGAGCAAAGCAAACTACTAGGTTAGCAGCTAACTATGATGAAAGTCCATTAAAAGAATCCATTGGACACACTGAGGTGGAAGTTGTAGCGGGGGCATTGTTAGGTTTTCTTGTTAGCTTGGCAGTGTATGCTGTAATGTGATGTTGTACAATTTACCATGATTTTTTTCACCACAATGCCAAATAAGGTTTGTACTTTTTGGATGGTTTCTCGACTCTTTAGGCTGCTGCCAAGTATAAAGCAACCATGTTGCATGATTCCCACGTAGCAGATCAACTCATCATACTTGTCCAGGTTTCATTGGCATGAATGCCACGCGGATTCACTCACAGAAACCTCTCTAGATACGGAACTGACTCACCTCCACAAAAATCCCTTCCCTGTACAGATTAAATACAAAGGATTGGTAATGGTACAGCCATCAATAGATCAGAAGAAGGAAGGAAATAACGAGGAGAAAGATGTCTGGAGCACAGGGAGCACAGCCGAAGGAGTCAAAGACAGCAACTGTATACGGATCAGTGGAAGGAGGAGAGAACAGGACCAAGACTGACCTTCGTTCCAAAGAAGACCAGGGCGGAATTCAGGTTGATAGGCTGGACAACAAAGTGGAAGATGCTGCCAGTAAGGGTGGTCCTGTCTTTGGTGCTGGCAAAGATGAGAACAAGCAAGACTTGGGTGTTACTGGCACTGCCTAGCTGAGCATGCAACTGCTTCATCTGTTGTATGTTTTCATCTGAATGGAGCTTTTCTTTTCTATAATGGTGTCACTGGCATATGTAAATGTAAAGTAAAATAACTCACCTTTTTCCTACTTTTAAGTGTAATTTCATTAGAATAACGAAAAAAGTGTAATTTCAATTCGTCATACTTCATAGTGCCCTTCACTTTTGGGTTGAACCTCAACTTGTGTTTGTGGACAAGAAAGTTGCACGTTTCCACGAGACTTGTTGGAACAAAAGTCTGGATACTCATATTTTCCAAATAAAAGTGTGATTTCACTCATAATGGCTTGGCAATCTCAGACAAATATTAAGAAATATGAAAGAATTGACAGATTCAGAAGTCAAGACTCGCACATGAAAACTCAACCATCTTTATCCCATGATTAGTGGGCGTTACGTAAGGCCTGAGGTTGATGCCATCAACAGTGAGTTCAGTGGATGCTACTTCACGTGTGCACTAATCTACTATTTTCCCATCCCAAAAGGCTATACCTGCGACTAAAAGACAGAAAAGAACCAGAAACAAACAAGTTAATTAAATCCTGGAGAGCAAGAAAAGTCTATCCATCGGAAATAGGTGGCTTCCATAAATCACAGAATCAAGATCAGGATATACAACTAAACCAGAGCAAACTATATGGTGCCAATAGGGAACCAGCATCTCGCTAGCTGGTTAAGGTGACATCAGACAATTGAGCTGCTCAAACAGAGGCAAACTAGCTAGTGAGTTCAGTGGACGCTACTTCTTCTATCGTAGGCTGCCTGCCAATCTCCTAGATTATCCTCATTGATAATGAAAGAACTTAGAACGGATAATATAATTACAGATGGAGGAAAAAGATCAAACTTTATTGAACTGAAGTATGACTGTATCAAAAAGAAGTATATTATTTTAAATTTCTCATATCTTATTTCCAAACTCAAACAGAGGTCGTTACATCAAGGAAGCCAAGCATGTTTGAGTTTCGGATTTGTAAGGTTATGTAAAGTAACAAGGGTTCACTTCAAACGCTATGTAAGGTACAAAGCTAGCCAATTTTTGAGCCCTGAGCAGAACCAAGACCAAGAGAGCTCTAACTTGATGGTGCAAATCCAACTATAAAGTTGTTTCACAGATGGGACAATATGCAAAGAGGAAGATAAGGACAAGAATAGTACCATTGAACCTCAAAACCAGTGTTCATATTTCTCAAATTCCAAGAAGCAGAGTAGTTTGATCCTCTTTGCTCTCTGGCACATCAGAAAAGTATGCATATTTGAAATTCTTATCATCTTCGATTAAAATAATATTTGATCACAACATCTCTGGCTTATGGATGTAAAACACGAACAAGAATGATCCGCATCGTGCAAAGTGACGTGGACTGCTCACGACTGATGGGCTCCTATAACCTCACGGATGAATGAATTGTCATCCAAAAATCCATATAACTCTTATTCTTATGCCCTTGTCTTGTTGCATTGACTTTAAATATAGAACTTGCAAATGGACAATCACCTAGAAGGACAAATACAGGGAATGAATCAAAAACCATTTCAAGAACTTATAGTCATGTGTAATGTTAAAATAAAATTGGTTAAGAGGCAGAAGTTATTATCTACACTTAACTGAAATTTTAGCAGCGGCATCAAACCCATACACAACCCAAAAGGGTAATATTCGTCCATTAAGAAATCACAAACCACTAACTGACATATTCTCCTTAATTCACTTTGCAAATGAAAGCTTTACCCTTGATTCAATACAGCCAAGTTCTGAATCAGTCAAATCCTTAGAGCACCTAAGAGCTGATTTCAGGTCTCCAATCTCTTGATAGCCCCTAGCCATTACCTTGTACATGGCAGCATTTGGCAGGATCCCCATCTTTACCATGTCTGCATGCAGCATCATCACATCAGCCATATGCTTGGCTTGAAAATGCCCGTTTAAAATGACAACGTACGAGAGTACATCAGGTGCTAAACCACTGCATCTCATGTCTGAGAAAAATTTGCTTCCTTTAAATATCCGCCCATCATTGCACAAACCTTGAACCAAAGATGTATAAGTCACATGATTTGGGGAGCAAAAGACATCATCCATTTCATCAATTTCATTTCCAGTGATATCAGCTTTAGTCTTCTCCAAGAAAAAATTGATTGCCTTTGAAATCCTTCCACTTTTAGAAAGGCCATCAATCAAGCAACTTATTGTAAAGACATTAGGCATTAATCCTGCCTCCAACATCTCCTTGTGTAGTCGGAATGCCTCTATCAAGTTACCATTTTTACAATGTCCATCAATCAAAGCTGTGTATGCCACCACATCTGGGACAAGGCCCTTTATAACCATTTCCGAGTAAAAGCCCAGAGCAGCTTGCATGTTTCCTGCCTTGCAGTGGCCATCAATCAATGTAGAGAAAGTAACAACATTAGGTTCTAAACCATTTTCTGTCATTTGAGAGCATACCTCCAAAGCTTTCTCCATGTTTCCCTCCTTACAATACCCATCAATAAGGGAATTATAAGCAACAGAATTTGCCAGAATACCTTCATTGTTCATTTTCATCAAAAAAATTTCCCCTTCTTCTGCTCTGCTCGCACCACAAAGGCCTTTGATTAGTATACTGTACGTAAAGACATCTGGTGAAATTTTGAACTTCTCCATCTCAGCAATTAGAGCCATTGCTTCTGAAACATTGCCTGCCTTACAATTGCCATCAATCAAACAATTGTACAAAAGTATATTAGGAATAACGCCATACTTTGTCAGACAAGCAAACAAGCTTCTTGCTGCTGTCAACTCCCCCATCTTGCAAAGCCCATCTATTAAGATACCAAAAGTAACGATATTTGGCAGCAAACCATCAACTAACATGTCCTGATAAATTTGAAGTGCATTCTTAATATTTGCCATTTTGAAATACCCATCCATCAAAGTATTGTAAGTGTACAAATTTGGAGACACACCAGATTTCCTCATTGATCTGAAAATTAATTCTGCATCTAACATCTTACCCTGACAGCACATACCTCGAATGAGAATCGTGTATACCTCAACCGTTGGCTGAGTCCTTTTATTAACCATTTCATCAATCAAATCCCGTGCCTTTGAAACATCACCTTGACAACAGTAACAATCTATCAACAATCCATAAGTAACAACACTAGGCTCAAATCCACGCAAAACCATGTCCCTGTAAAGTTCCCACATTGACTGAAACCTTTCCATCTTAACCAATCCATATAAAAGCGCATTACAAGCCTGAACTGCCGGTAAAACCTCAAGTTTTCGATACACCCACAAGGCATCTTCAACCAGACCCATCTCAGAGAAGGCAATAATCAACCCTCCAAACACATTGGGAGTGAATTTCGAACTTTCCAATTCCTTAAGTACATCGAACACTGATGAGCAGAAACGGGTTTTATGGCGAGAACTTCGGAAGCTTTCAATGAGGTATTTTATCAAACACCTGGCTTGCACGTACAACTTCGCACCGGTTAACACGTGTACAGCAGCTGAATAAGGCTCGGGATTCTTAATGGGGTTTATCTGTTTCGAATCGAAATTCAAAAACTGGAGAGCCTGATTCGGAGTTTTACAGTTGAGTATAGCCTTAGTGAGATCAGAAGGCGATGGTGATGATGATAAAGAAACCACTTTTAAGAAACTCCGAGGATAGTCTTTGTAGAAAGGCAGCTGTTTGCGCCAGAAAAGCTTCAACATTGCTCAGATCAGAAGGTTCAGTTACATTCTTCCTTTGATGGTCTCGTCAGCAACACACAGGAAATCGAAATTTCCCTGGAGGACGTCGTGTTAACGCTGAAAAATATGAAAATAATGTCATTTTTTATTTTTTAAATTAAAGATTTAAAAATAATTTATGTATTTATTTACATTAATAAAAAATAAAATATAAATTTTTTTTATAAAATAATTAATTAAAATAAATAATAATAAAATTAATATAAAATATTTATTTTAAAAAATAAAAAATATAATTAATTTAAAATAAAACTCAAAATTAAATAACAATAATTATTTTAAAATAGAAAAAATAATGAATTTTTTGAAGAATACCTAAGGTGTTGTAGCTTGATTAATAACCCCTTCATAGTTCATATGGTTTTTCCTTGTATATTTTTAATTTTTCAGACTTCTTTTTTTTTCTTTTTTTTTTTTCTTTTTTTCTTTTTTTTTTTTTTTTTGCCTTTTCCGTCCGAACAACTCTGTTTTCTGCTAGTCCTGACTTGAAGCTGAGAGAGCTTATTTACTTAATCACCCTACAGGAGTTAGTTTGTGCAAAATCTGGTCGGAGACGCTCTGACAACGATAACCCTTCAAAGATTATGAGCAGTAGAATTGAAGACTGTTTGCAGATTATTTGTATTTGCTTTCAGCAGTCTAATGCCGCCTGCAAAATGTCAATTTTGTCAAACAAAAATGGTTGTTTGATTTGTTGATCCAAGTTATGTAACATATGGTAAATACTGCTCCTTTGAGGGTGAGAACAGTCTCCA